AGATGGAAGTCCACCTGGAGAGCCGGAGTCCAGCTGGGAGAGCCGGAAGTCCAGCTGGGAGAGCTGGAAGTCCACCTGGAGAGCTGGAGTCCACCTGGAGAGCCGGAAGTCCAGCTGGGGGAAGCTGTGCACAGGAAGGGGCCCGGAACCCACGGGGCACCGGTGCTCGGGGTGCCACACAGTGGTGGTCGCTGACAGTCGAGAGGAGACGGGGCACCAGCCCTGAGCTGAGCACCGTCAGATGCAGGACCTCCATCCCGAAAGAGGAGACGCGACTGGCCCCTCGGTGGCGACGGGACTTCTCAGCGTCAGAGCCGGGCTTCCTGGGCTCTGGGCTCGGGGCTGTGCGGCCAACGGCCTTGGCCCCCACCTCCCGGGGAGGGCCCGTCCGGGCGCGGCGGGCGCAGGGCCGCACCGAGCCAGGGGTCTGAGGTTCCGGCAGGAGGCGGAGTGTTCGTGCGCCTGTGCCTGAGTCGGCGGGGGTGGGACCCTGCAGGACCCTGCCGGCCGCCCCGCGGGGCTCTCCAGGAGTCTGTGTCCTCCGGGACGCGGGAGGAGCCACACGGGTGACCACACACTGGACGATGATCAAGGCCTCGCTCAGCCTTTCTCCTCTCCTGCCTTATGCCCACCCGGTCGGCGGGCGCGCTGGGGACGGGCGTGTCCACGCTCGCTGAGACGTGCCGGCGGCGTTCTTCCAGGCGTCCGCCGGGCACCGCTTCCGTTCGCCAGCGTGTCAGGCACTGTTCCCCGGCGCCTTTGCATCTGCGCGTCCGTTCACGGATTCACTGCGTTTCCGACCTGTCCGGTCGGCAGTCCGTCCCGCACCCACCGTCCACGCGTGCCTCCCCGTGTCCCTTCAGTTATCCGTCGGTGTGCACGCGTGTGCGTCTGTTAGTCATTCACGTACTTCACTCGTTCACAAACCAAACCCTCGAGGTCAGTGAGAGCCGCTGGAGCAGGTGAAGGAGTCGGCCGTGACCCAGGTCGACCCAGGCGTCATCACTGGGTGGGGACTCATGAAGGCGGACAGACAGGCCCAGGGTCCCTGAGGGACGACTGTCAGCCTGTGAGAGGTGCGGGCTGCACCCACAGGCTGCGCCCACGGGCTGCGACTGGGCGGTCCCAATGTCACCGTGGGCTGGGGACTCAAGTCCTCCCTCCCCCAATTTCCCGCATTGCCTGGGAGTTCTTGGGCCCCCCTAGGCCTCCTCGATAAGTCTTGTGACCCCAAGCCGTTCTTGGGTGGCTCCCATAAAAAGCAGGAGACGTCAAGTGCAGGGACCGGGGCTGCGGGGTGACAGGGCGGGAAGGAGGGGCCATCGGTCATGATGACATGTGAGCGGCAGCCGTGGTGTGGGCGGGAGACACAGGGACCGGCGTGGCGGGAAGGAGAAACTGCCCAGGGAGGCCGAGAACGAGCGTTCCGTCCTCGTCCCCCTCCCCCTCGAGGGGTCCCCCACCCACTGTCTGTGTTTGATCCTCGTCGTCCTGCGGTCCCCGAGGGCCAGGCGGGCAGTGCTGCGGGGCAGGGCGCGCGGCCGCGGCTCTGCGTGTGGAAGCGCAGACACTGCACCCCCTCCCCCGCCCCCGTCCCCGGGCAGGCAAGGCCTCCCCCGCAGCGGCCACCTCGACTGCAGCCAGGCCGCGCCGCCGCGCTCGGGCAGGAAGTTCTGCGGGGAGGACCCGCCTCAGCCCGCGCACTTGGCGGCGAGAACAGCTCCGCCTGGAGCTCCCGGCTGCCGCCAGGGCTGAGGTCACAGGGCCGCCATGCGGCCCACCTCGGTTTATAGCGACCGTGCTCTGCCTGACCTTCGACCGACCTTCCCGGGCACGACTCCTCACGCAGCTGCGTGCACGTCCGGCCGGACGGCCGTGGTTAGAAAGCGTTGGCCGCGAGGGCCCCTCCCGCAGTTGAGCCTCGTCTCGCGGTCCCCCCCCTCGCTGGCCGGGCGGCACCTGTCGGCTCCGACGCCCGACACTCCATGCGGCAGCCCGGAGGCCGCTGGACACACCTGCCTCCCCCCTTCACACTGTAGGTGACCCGCAAGGTTTCCCCCCAAGGAGCCCCCGCGGGGGCTGCTTACCCGAGTATCAGAGCCCCGCCCCCGCGGAGTGTCAGCTCACGGCCCACCCCAGGAGTGCTCGCTCGCTCGCTGTGCCCGGTCCCCTAGGCGACGACGCGGGGCCATGAGAGGGGCCACAGGAGCAGGGGGACACGCGGGCAGGCAGGGCCGCCCGGCGCGCCCGTCCCTCGGTCCCCGGGCCTGTCCCGCCCTCACCGCCCAAACGCCCTGTGGCTCACGGCCGCACCCGATGGAAAACACACGGCTGTAAACACCCAGGGCAGCCAGCAGTGTGGCGCGCGCGATATTAATTTCTCCTCTGGTTTATTTGTGAAGGAGTCCACCGTATAAATCACTGGAGCCACCAAGACAGAAAGGGAAATGTCATGTCCAAACGGAGCGGTGGTGTGTGTTCCCACTAGAACCGAAGGGTGTGCAGCTGGGCTGGTCCGAGGCTCCTGCTGCGGGGACCGGCTACTGTGGGCGCCCCGCTCCGGGCTACTCGGCGTGCTCCGGGCGTCAGCCCTCCCCCCCACCCGCCGCCGTCCTGGACGGCACGCAGCACCCACCGGCACGTGTCCGCCGAGAGCCCGGTGTCGGCCGGACAGTCCCCTCCGAACGCCGTCTCTCCCGACGTCTTTAATTAACAACCGTTTCTGACCCGGGCCGGTTGCAAGAGTTGCTCTTCTCTCCTGCTAAATTACGTCTAATGAACATATTTGCATGTTATCAGATACAGCCATATATCATTTCAAATTTCGGCGTTTAAGCCTGCATCCCTCACAACAGCTTTTGTGGATTAGTAAGCAGGTGAAATCAAAAATCTCATTTCATATCTGACATTAATAACTTTCAGGGGAATGAGCATTGGCATTTATGTCTGGGCCAGATCGAGCCTCGCGTCCTGGAAGCCCAAGGGCAGCAGACAAACCTCCTCGCCAGATAGGAAAATAAATCATGCATAATGCAGAATTTCTACCTTACATGTTAATTAATGTGTGCAATCAATTACTGATGTTACAATATGAGCAAGAAACTGGTGGGGAATGGGGCAATAAAAAATACCTATAGATTTATCTGCTTCTTTTTTCTATTTAAACAAATAGTCTTCAAGCCTGTGAATGCTGTGTTGAGACATGCTCTGAATAATAAGCATCATAAAATCTAATCAGATTTATAAGAGGAATTGATTGTTGTGGCAGGAAGAGAGGGTGGAAAATAAGCTGGAATTTAAGTGTTAATTTTTATGCTAATCCACAGTGGCTTCATATGAAGCAATTTTGTTCTGTGCCACAAATATAAAATTGTCCCTTGCAGAGAAATGTCAGCTTGCTAGACCTGAAAGCAGTAATTTATTAGGTATGTTTCTATTAGTATGTGTCAGAGTTGTTAGCAGGCTATACACACAATGGTGCTTCATACTTATCCTCCAAGTCTCAGAATGCTTCAGCTCAGTGGCTGGAACGCAGGGGCATTAATACATTATCATATGCGGGGTGGTCCGTGCCCTGTGGACAAAGGGCTATTTAATACAATTTAATGTCATTCTGAGAAGAAGTGGAAAAATAAAGACGGGGAATAAAACGGCATCTGTGTGTTTCCCAGCGCACTCATGCACAAACCCTGCGTTTAAGAGGTATGACATTTCTGCCAAGAAAGAAGAATAAAACTGGGCCATTTTTTTCCCTTCTAACCTGTTCCCCACTGCAGTCTTCTCTAAATGCTATTAAGTGATCGATTTACACGGCCCCGTGATGATGTCATCCGTAAGCAGGGGAATGCGGAAGGCAGCAGAATCCTCGTGACAGTGACCTTGTTTCGGGGTCCTCCGGCCCCCGGCGGCCTCGCTCCCGGGATGCGGTGTCAGGGAACGGACTTTCTGGACACTCTGGAGCTACCGGGGAGTGAATTAGCAGAGTTGAGGGTTCTGATGCAATTCACATATAGGTCAATTACATGCGCCAACATCTGCTGTCACCGTCATTTGCATGCGGCATTCATATGTTAATGACGCCTCTTTCTACTCAAGTAATATATTTAAAAAACAAGATTTGCATATCGGTTCGGATCGGTGTGGTAGGAGCCATGTATCCTGCTCTCCTTCCCGGGGTGGTGTTTTTTAGGGGCGCCGCCCCGAGTGATGGCGGCTATATTTGAGCCCGGCTCTGATTTATACGAGAACCCCTTCGGTTGGGGGGCGCTTCCATTCTAAAGCCGCTTACGGCTTTATAAATCAATAATGACACAGATGGACTGGTGATAATCTATTTAGAATGCCTGATAGCAAATATTGTTGCACAGATGATTAGAGTGGCAACTGTTTCAGCACAGACCTTCCTCTCCCTTTGCAAATGGTAAGTTTGAACCAGAAAAGAAAAAAAAAAGGAAAGGAAAGGAAAGAAAGAAAAAGTGCTGGTGCACGGACCCGGCGTCCGGACACCCCCGCGCTGGGTCTGGACGGCCAAGGAGGGAGCAGGGCGGATGAACAAAGGGGCCCCTTGCGCCTGCCGCTGCAATCGCATCCACCCCCTCGTCTTTAACAAAACAGGACCCCTTAATGGAATTGTGTCTTCAGGTGTGAATAGCATTAGAAGCCGCTCCGGCTCTCCTTTTTGCCCCGGTGCAGCGCAAGGAGGGAGAAAAATAAAGTGGAGGTTGTCAGAAGTGGCAGCTGCTTGGAATCCTGATAAATATAAGCTTTTATTGATCGGATGAAAATGAAAGATCCCAGGGCTAGGCAGTATTTAGCTTCTTGTCTGCGGCATATCACCCGTGGCCTTGCGTGGGGATAGGCTTTCACTCTCACGCGCCGGCTTTGATTTCATCTTTAACCTTTTCCGCTGAATTTCCTTGACCTCCGCGTGTGGCTGTGATTTCGTGAATCTGTTACATTTCACTTTACCCTGTGGCTTTCTCTATGTTCTTTTGTCGCAGGGACCCCGGGGCGCCCGCCTGGCCCTCCGTCAGCGCCTGCACCAGCGGCCCCTTCCCGGGCCCTCTCAGCGGACGGACTCTCCTGACGACACTATGCAGCTCACCTGCTAAGGTAAGACTTCCGGCGCCAGAACTGGCCGCCCCGCACGCAGCCCGGTGCTTCCTGGTCTGTCTCCTCCGCCCGCCACAAATTCCAACCCAGGAGCCCTGGCCCCCAGCCCCACCCCTGCCTCCTCAGGGGGGCGTCCTCCCGCTGGGCCAGCGCTGGGCCGGGGCGGGGCAGGGCTTCTGCCCGCCGGGGACGGGGGGGGGGTGGTGCCCCTGCTGTGGGGTGCAGAGGGAACAAAGGGACGGTGGGGAAATGCCCCCTTCTCAAGGCTTCTCCGGTTTTCTGCCGGGATCAGTCAGAGGCTTCGGTGCCCAGGCCCGAGGTGCCACTCACGTGTTCCGCTTCCCAGAAAGTGCCGGTGCTATTTGGAGTAGTTTTGATACAACCGAATCAAAGTGGAGATTTGAAATAGCTTTTCTGAAAGCCCGAGCCGAAGCCATAAATTATTCCGCACCACGATTCTCTCTGATAGTGAACTGTGCCCACCTCTCCGCCTGGCACCGCTGACGTGTGGAAAAGGGGGGCTGGGGAGGAGAACGAAGCGTTTAAATCCGGGGTGCCCAGGGCCTCGGCCCGGCGTGCAGGCCAGGCGATAGAGGACCCCACCACTTAGGCTCCCGCAGGTATCCCGCGATCTGGGCTGTTATTAGCGACGGCCCGGGCGCAGGGTTCCGGCGGGAAGGGCGAGGAAAAAGGCAGGAAAAGCCATCACATGGCCTGCGAGGGCCCGGGCGCTGGGGCGCCGCTGCCCGGCGGGCGCTCGTGGGAGGAAACGTCGGTAGCACGCACGGGGGACGTCCCCCTCCTCCTTCACCCCGGTTATTCGGGTTGGAAAGTGTCGATTTCACACCGCGGCGGTGTTCTCGCGGCGGGCGCGCCTGCGTCTCGGAGAGCAGTGTCGTGGCCTCGGGGCGCACGCACGGGCTCCTCAGGGACGCGGCCGCCCACGGGCTCCGGGCGGAGGCTCCCCGCAGGAGCTGCTGGCGGGTCCCCTCCCTGGCACGTCGCAGGCAGAACGCTTTTCGGCTCCGGAGCTGTTTGCTTGGGAAAACAAGCGTGCGGTTGCCAGTAAGGTTTAGACTTTGCCTGGCAGATACAGGAACGTCTGCGAAGAATATTTTCCCTCTTGGGAGGCAAAACACAGATGGGGGAGTGAGGAGCCTCGCAGAGCTGCGCTGCTACATTGGCGGCGGGGATGCTGCCGCGCCGATGCTCACGGCTTGGGAAGGCCGGGCTCAGCCGTCCGCACCCACGGCCGCGGGCAGGGCCGGGGCGAGGCTGGCCTCCGGGTGGGGTGCGCCGGCCGGCTCGCCCTGGAGGGATGCCGGCTCCGTCCTCCCGTGTGGGGAGAGGAGGCCCGGCGAAGGAGCTGCCGTGGTCCCTGGACCCACGTTGGACGGGCAAGGGTGCCAGGGCCCTGTGTGACTGGGGGGGACGCTGTCGGGGCAGCAGGTGCGACTGAGACAGTGTCCCGTGCCAGGGGCGGAGACGCAAGGACACACTGACAGGGGTCTCGCCCGGCTCTCCGCTGTGAGACCTGCGCAGTGAGGAGTGAATGGCCGCAGAGATGACCGGGAACAGAGCTGCAGTGTCCCCGGGGTCGGCCTCAGGGAGGCGGGGGTCCTTCCTGTTCGGGGAACGGGTACCTCGCTGTGGTCTGGGGTCGGGGGTGCTGTACGCAGGACCAGAGCGTCAGGTCCCAGAGCAAGCTCTGTGCCCTGGAGACGGGGAAAGGGGACGGACGGGTCTCCGAGACGGGGGCAGCCCGTGGGCACCGTCCTCCCCGCCTCTCGCGGCCCCGCCAGCCCCGCCTGCGCCCGGGTCCCCAGCATCTGAGGCTGCGGCGAGGGGAGCCGCCGAGCATTCCTGGACCCGGGGCCCTTGCGCTCGGCCGCCCCACCGTGCCCGCCCAAGGCTTCGACGCGGACGCCCGACCTTTCCGAGTCCTGTGGACGCCGACGCCACACGCGTGCGGCTTCGGGATGCCCCGGAGCCCTGTCACGGGCCCAGGCGCCCGCCGGCGTGGAGCGTGTCTCACGCGTGGGGCCCAGACTGAATGTCCGTCCACAGCGTGGAGTCCGGGGGAGCCGGGGCCAGAGCAGGGCCGCCAGGCGTGGCCGTCCACCCTCCAGCGGGAGGACCCCGTGCTGGCCTGTGGCCCCCGGGGGTGGCCCCAGAGCCCGTCAGGTCTCCCCTCCTCCACCGAATTCACGCAGAGTGGCTCCCGCTGTCCCCGGGGTGTGGGAGGGCCTGGACCCCAGGTGCCCGTCCCGGCGGGGCTCCTGCCGCCCAGGGCAGATGCGTAATCGCCGTAGTTAAATGCTGCGTGGGGGCTCTGGGGGTGCACAGAGGAGGGGGGGCAAGCATGAATTCCGTGTGGCATGGTGACCAGCTCTGCGTGTTCGTGTGGGGTTCTGTGTCGCCTGGACCATCACCTGGAAGGCTGGGGCTCAGGGCTGGGGGACCCCACGGGGTCCCCTGAGGCAATAGCAGGAGCCACGGCCAGGACCCACACTGAGCCGGCGAGGCAGGTGCTCTCAGAGCAGCGGGAGCTCGAGGTGGTGGGAGGGGTGGGCCTGGCCTCAGGTCCTGGGGTGGCCTCGGTGCCTCCTCTCCAGGCTTCGGGGGCAGGAGCTGCCACCCGTCCCGTTTTCCGGGGGAGGAGACTGAGGTCGGAGAAGTTTCTGAGGCCCCCTCGGCTCACACAGCTGGGTGGTGGTCAGGCCCGGGTTGAGGGTGATGCTTCCTGTTTCGGAGTCTGGTCCCCTGGCCGGGGAGCAGGCGGGGACAGACGGGGTCCCTGTGCCCGGGGACCTTCCACCGCAGGGCAGGGATGCGTGTGACAGGCCACGCACGTAAGGTGGCGCGGGGCAGGGGCCGGGGTGGCCCCCGAGGAAGGCCCACGGGCAGGGACGGGTCTGGAGGACGTGGAGGAGTCGGCCAGTGGAGGGCTGGCAGGGGCCTGGGGTGCGGACGGGCTGCCGGCCCTTGGTGCTGGGACCCTGAGCTTGGGGGCAGGGGTGGGGGCGGGGTGGGGCCTGGGTCCGCCGTGGCCTTGCGGACTGCAGGACGTGGTTTCTTCCACATTCATGTCGCTTTTATCCAGAGGGAAAAACGTGTCTTGAGAAGCCCACCCTCCTAGGTGTGGGGGTGCTGCTAGGAGCCGGAACTCCGTGCGTGGCTTGAACCGGCTCCTGGCAGGTGTGTGCTGTGGCCTGCGGGGTGTCCTGGTGACTGGCCTGAAGCTGGGGATCGCCGGCCCGGTGGACAGTGCCCCACGACCACTCCTGCAGACCCAGCCTGCGCCTCCTCTGCAGCCGGAGCCCCCAGCTGTGGGCCTGGCCGGAGCTGCAGGTGGGAGGGCCCTGGGGCCCCCGTTGACCAGGGGACCGTCACAGGGTGCTGGTGCCCCCCACTCAGTACAGGGAGGGGTGAATACCAGGTCCAGTCGTGGTCACTGCGCCGGCGCAGTTCCGGGCCGCTGACAACGTGCAGGGCGTGCTCTCCCCGGGCCCGCGGCGCGGCTGTGCGGCTGAGCCCCGGGCCCACGCATTGCCGGTCACTCCCGGACCTGAGAGCCCCAGGGTGAGGGCGAGCAGGGCCGCCCTCACTTGACAGGTGAAGAGATGGGCCCAGAGAGGCCGAGGGGCTGGCCGTGGTCACACCCCCGGGCACTGGCCGAGCTCCATTTGGGTCCAGCCCCGTTTCCCCCAAACAGAACAGGCCGCCCCTGAGGCAGTGCCGCGTGAGGACAGCTGGGGGCCGGCCGGTGTCTCTGCTGCCCAGCAGGCCCCGTGCCGGGGGCAGCAGTGAGAGTCGGCGGTCACTCACAGACAGACCGTCCGGCGGCCCCTCTGCTGTCTGTGACCCTCACAGTTGGTGGCACCGAGGTTTCGGTGACCCAGTGCGCCCCGAGTCTGCATCACTCTCTACGGTCTGTGGAACGTAGGGACGGCAGAGCCTGAGGCCCAGCCACGCCCAGGACGCAGGGAGGCCAGGGCCCTGGCTGGGGTTCCTGACACCTGCCCCTCCGGTGTTCCAGCGGGCCCCCTCCAGGGCTACAGACAGACCTGGCCGGTTTTGGAGAGGATGACCGCTGCCAAAGGCAGCGTGGCCCAGAGAGCCCTTGGACTTGGCCCCGGGCTGCGGCTGGGGGCGGGGCACCGGAGCAGAGGCGCTGGCCCGGCCTGCACTGTGTCCCGGGCAGGCCTGGACCCCGGGCAGTGTCGCGGGCCCACACTCGGGGTCCAGGCGGCAAGTGCGCGCAGCCGGCCGTGACCGGAGCCCACCCCACTGCAGCCACGCGTGGGGCGGGGGCAGAGTTTTCCCAAGTAGCCACAGTTTTTAAGGAGAGAGAAGTAAAAAATAAATCTAATTCTTTCGTTTCTTCCTCCCCTCTAAGGCTAGCAACTCATTTAAGTTCCAAACACTCTTCCTGCAAGTGCGACGTGTCTGTGGCCTGGACAGAGCTGCGACCTGCCCTGGGTGACTGCACTCGGCTCAGAGCCCAGGGTCCCACACCCCCGTGACCCAGACAGGGCCGAGTGCCCCGGCCGCCCCGGCAGCCCGGCTCCGGAGGGACGGGGGACGCACACGGGCCGGTGGCTGCCCTTCCCCCCCGGCAGGGGGGCCAGGGCCAGGGCCTGGCTGCACGGGAGGGAAGCCCTCGACTTCTGGACACGCATTTCCTCCACGGCTTCCTGCTGGACCTGCTCCAGGGTCCTCGCAGGTGGGCGGGGGGCGGGCCGGTGTCCCACGGACACCCCTTTGCGGGCCTCTGCACCCATCGCCCTGTGTCTCCCCACCGCCCGAGCCGCAGGCGCCTGCCCGAGTCCCATCTGGGGATGTGGTGACGGACGGGTGTGATTCCTGGGCACCAGGGTTTGGGGACAGACCCCGCCCTTCCCGTGCCAGTCTCGGGGCTGCTTGGGGGGAGGCCCTGCCTCCCCTGAGGCCGAGGGCCCCCTGGGCTGAGACAGGAAATGGCAGGCCGGCTGGGCCAC